GACTTGACTTTTCTATAGATCCGTATCAAATTTAATGATGATCCTTTGGGGTCCTACACACATGGGTGTGGGAGGGTCCTATATGATCATTATATATATATATATATAGATATATATATATATATATGAAAAAAGCTAACAATAGCTGGGAAGCTATAATGAATAGTAATAAAAGTAGAATCCAACTGTCAGATCTTCAAAATATATATCACTATTTTAGTTTTAATTTTTTTTTTCCAATAAATCTGATCAAGATGAAATTTTGGGTGTATATACCTAACACTAATGCACACCATATAAAAATATAAAAAAATTATTTTCAATAATTTAAAATGACCAAATTGCCCCTATCATTTTTCAGGGGTATTTTCATCATTTTATATTTTGGAAAATATTTTTAGATTTTTTTAATTGTGCGCCCTACTTTTTAGTACACACGTCTAAAATTTCATTATGACGATTTCTAAAAAAAATATTAAAATTCATATAATGATATGCATTCTGAACCACATGATGAAGATTTAATAGCGCTCCCATTCCACCTATCTTATTTATTATAGTTGCCCAGCTATTGTAAGGTTTACTCATATATATATATATATATATATAGTTTTTTCTCTTGCCAAATGATCATGATAATTTTCAATCATCAAACATGAATTCAAGAGAACTAAGGAAATAAAATATTCTTATGGCAAGTGATTGTGATAAATCTCAAAGCTCATGCATAACATTTGCTTATGGCAAGTTATAAGGAGCCAAATTGCGACAATTCAATGCAATAAATATTTTTAAGTGGTATTTTCTGAAGTAAAGAGAATCAGGATGCGTGCCAATGCAAGCATATGTATAAGCATTTCCCCAGTTCATATTACAGAAAATACCATACAAGGCTGTCAAAAGTTAACTTGACAATTTAAGGCACTTGGAACAATGCAGAGCACATATTGTAAGGGAGCTGAAGTGTAAGCTTGCAAGTGCAATACTTATCAGCAAATGGTTAAAATACCACAGAACGTAAAATAGAGATCTGCAAAGAAAAGGAAAAGCGAAAGACTGTACCAACCCACTGCACATAAAGTAAAAGGGGTTTGAAACCATTTTCTTACCTTGAGCCAAGCAGGACCCCAGAGTCTCTCACGTTCACGCATTCTATTCTTTGAAACTTTTGAAGAAGCATCCATCTACCTTGACATGAAATTGAAATCAAAGATATTCTCATAAGACCATCTGCAACATCCTACAAAAACCCCATATCTAGCTCCATATTTCTTTTTCAAAGTTAAGGGCCAAAACTTGGTCATCTAGGCAGGGAGTCAAATAGGACACAATTTGGTGACACTGATATCCTTGATCCTAGAGTATACTCTGAAAGTGACAAGTCCAGTGAAGATACTCAACAATAATCCAAGTAAACATTGTCCCAGAGAAGAGAAATTTTAGTAGTCATTACCAGTTCTTGGCCAGTAGCACGACAGACATTAACTGTAAGGATATGTAGAGCTGGAGAGTAAAAGCTGGTAGCATCCAACAGATATAGCAGCTGATAAGCAAATGACAACCCTGAAAGACATATCATAGCTCTGAATGGAATGTTAAAAATTTAACCTATAATGCTAATCTTCAAATTTGTCTTGCTACCACAACGAGAGCATTTAAAGAGTAGAAGTTCAAATGTTAAAGAACACACTAGAGGGGATTTTTTCTCTCCTAAGAGTAAACCTTAGACCAACAAATCAATATGAAGTTTTCTCCTCCAAGTTATACGTTCTCTAGTGTCAAAAAAATACAAGAAATTGTGAAAAACAAGAGAACAATGTGCAACCAATCTACTCCCCAAATGTGTCCAAGCATCCTCATGGTTGATTCTCACCTACAGAATTTCAATTTTTAGGAAGCACTTTCACGAGGAAATGGAACAGAAAATTCATTAGGCAGCCAAGTCCCGGTCAAATTTTGTTCCTAGTCTTTCTATTGCGCAATAGGATTATAGAAAAGAAGCCATCCAATTTGAAAAACAATGAGAGCAATGGTTTTTTTCTATATCTATCATTGCGAAGAAAGATTACAATTATGAATTGCAAATTTGGACACTATAACAAATGGCTTTCCACGGTCATTTTCAAACAGCTAATATATGGGTCGATGTCCACCCCATATATGAAGAAAATTTGGAGGGAAAATAACACATCTCAGACATAAAAAGATCTACTGGTTGCATGTCAGGGCATCCCTGTGCAATTAACGACCAAACCTAAACATTACCTTCGTTAGTTGCATGTATCCATGGGTAGCAAGCAGATATTATTCTCTTAACCAAATTTTTTACACGAGCAGATCTTGAACGATCGTTATCTGTTAGTTCCGCAGGAATATGAAGATTTTCTCCCCTTTCAGAGAAACCATCACTCTCATCCATGCCTACATCTCCCGCCCCCCATAAAGTATCTTGAAGCATTGCATCCCTTTGTGCTCTGTAGACAGAATGCAACTTTGACTTGAAATATGGCAAAACAACCTACAAGTAGATAGATTAGAGTGCTGTAATTCCACATCTTATGACAACACAATGGTGGAGAGAGAGAGAGAGGTACACGATTGTTCTCATGGCATATTCAGTACTAAACAGCAACACTATTAATGGTCAGCACAATAGAATGGCAAATGCCATCTTAGGACAAGTATAGATACTAAACAATGACAGAACGATAATTATGAACAAGGGATTGCAAAATGAATCAACTAAGAGATGTCAAAATGCAGGTTTGGGAGCACAAAAGGTAAACTTCTAGACCAATCCTTTTTGGCAATTGACCAATCCTTTCACTAGTAGTTTGTGTGCCAAAACACTGCTTTTCTTGCAGTTGATTTGGACGCCGATCAATGGATTAGTAGCCTTTAATTCGAGACCCTAAAGAATGAATAGTTGAATATTCTTTAAAAAAAAAATCTAATAAAATAAGAGAAAAGATAAAAATAGAAAAGAAAACCTCCCACCTTTGCAGCCATGGGTGCTCCCCCTCTCTATCAAAAATTCAATACAGATCTCTAATAAAACAAGAGAAAGGATAATAGTAGAATGCCCATCTCAAACTGCAGTATTTGCTCCCATCAATAAAAATAAGATTGATAATTTCAGAAGGGTAGTGGTAACCAATAAGAATTTCAAGTGCTCCACTATCATTCAAAGACAATAAGCATGTTACTGATAAATCAAGAATCCAATATTCTGCTCACCCACTTAAGGATGATAGCTACAAACAGGAGATGATTACCAGAAATACGACAGAGAGAATTTTTTGGTGCTTTTCTATTCCAGAGTGTTCAACTGAGTCAGTATGAGGAGCTTCTTTTCCTTGTGATAATTTAGCTGACCTCCGCCTTAAGCCATACAAAGACTCTGAGAAAGAAGCTTCTGAAAATCAAATGAAAGACACACTCAGCTATTACAAGAGAACCATGATACGACAATGTTTACATCAATATATAGGTTGACAACAACTTTATCCAGGCTCAGGCACCTTTAAAAGACCAATGCATATATTCCTTCAGATGGGTTGCACATAAAGTAAAAAAAAAATACACATTATTAGATGGGTGTCGTTTATATAAGGTTGCAACCTTACTTATATAAGTAAGTTTGCACGCAGTAGATTTGACGCGTCTTGCAAGACATTATCAAAAAGCCTTTTGAGATAGTGACAAATCTATACCGTCCAAATAAAATAGATGGTGTAAATTAGTGCAACCTTACATCTACAAATAAGGTTGGAACCTTATACGAACTTATTTTTATTAGATGTACCATAGAAGTACTTGCATAACATGTGCAATAAATGGTGCTTCCATAAAAGAAAATGGAAAAAGAAAGGCACTTTCTCATTCCAAAGATATTCTTTGCTCTGAAAGACAGCAAGATATCAGTAATATGCCTGAAATTATCCTAGCACACAATAATCACAATTTCTCTAACAATACATACTATTTCTATCTCTATAATTCCAAACCACTTACACTCAATTCATCAAGAAGTCTTTTCTTTCTTTGAATTCCTTGAGAAGCTAATATGATTCATCATAATCACAGCCTTTTCTCAACTAATTGGGGTTGGCTAGAGAAGTTAACATGATTAATTCTTTTAAATTGCTTCCTGACCTTTGCCCAAGAAATCATGACCCACCTATCCCCTCCAAAACAATCCACATACTATCACTCCCCACCTAAAGATATTGGTGCTTCACTCCTTCTATCCTCCCCACAACAGACATCAACTTAACACAATTCCCTAGCTCTCAAAATATAGATCAATATCTGCACCATGTTTAGGCCATCTGCACCCATGTATGTGGCTGGAAATTCTAGCCAAGGCACTTTTTGGATATTGCCACGCAATTTTTATTTTTTGATGCTGTTAACTTTGTATTGAAAAAAGTAAGGAAATACAGTGATCTGTGGAGACAACCCACAAGCCAGGCCTCTCGGGAAAAAATATTAGGCTCCCCGAGAGGGGGGGCCCTGTACAAAAAAGGGGTGGGGCTTATAAGTAAGCAATGCCCATTACAAAGGATTTACAAAGAGAAACCAATGATCCAGATGGTCCAAAACATCCTGAGAGTCCCGAGGAACAGCAGTGAGCCAAAAACTTCAGTCTCTCGTGAGCTTGAGAGTGCGCCTCGTTAGCAAGATGGTCCGCCAAGGCGTTTGACGTCCTCCAAGTCGTCCTCCATGAGACAGTTGTATCCTTGCAAATATGCAGTATCTCATCATAAATCGAAGTAAGATACCAAGGGGGAGGAGCAAGTCCGGCAGCCCATGTGAAAATATTTTGGGCATCTCCTTCCACTATCAGTGGTTGACCCCATGCTTCGTCAAACAATTTGAGTCCCAAAAGGTGTGCCAAAGACTGGACGAGCTGGGAGTCAGCGTGGCCAATGTTCATGGAAAAAGAGGCCAGGAAGTTGCCGTGGTGGTCTCTGAAGACCCCATCCACTCCTGCTGGTCCAGGGTTACCTAAAGAACACCCATCAAAATTGAGTTTTGTAAGGCCTGCCGGTGGGGGGGGGGGGACCAGTTGTTCGCTCGAGACACCAGAGGGGAACGGAAGTGGAGGACTTCTTCCCAAATTTTGCAAGAAAGTTGAAGTTGACATGCCTTTGAATTCCTTGTGGTTAGAAGCCCAGAAAATGACCTGGGAGGTAATTTTGTGGAAAAGTGTTGAAGCTTCGCACTTGATTCCTCGGAATATCCTTGAATTTCTCTCGGTCCATATGACCCAAATCGTTGCCGCTATGGAGGCCCACCATAACAGCCTGCCCGCCTTTGGCCATGGAGAGTCTATCGAGAATTTGAGGAGGGCTACTAGGGGAGCAAGAGTTACCCAGGAAAGGCCGAAAAGACTAAGGATTCTACTCCACAGGTTGAGGGCTAGGTTGCAATGTATGAAAAGGTGAGGGTTGCTCTCTTCTTCGCAGAGGCACATGATGCAGCGATTTGGAATGGGAATTCCCCTTCATTGGAGTTGTTCCACTGTGAGAGCTTTCTCAGAGCATGCTATCCAGTTGCATGCTTGCACTTTTGGTGGAGCTATCGAAGACCACACCTTAGAGACCACAGAGGTCGGAGAGTGGGGAAAGGTGGGGGGTTGCAAGAGTTTTTTGTAGGAGGAGGCAACCGAGAAAGAACTAGAAGGGGAAGGGTCCACACCAGGTTATCGGCGCCAGATAAGGCGAGGAAGGTAAGAGTACAGTAAAGAGGACAAAGAAAGTCTGATGTTTCAATCTCTGAGAGGGGGCGCCTGAAGGAAGGGTTCTAGACCGTTACTATGGTCATCTCATTGGCGATCGAGGAAGACTTGCTGGTAGTTAAGTTAAAGAGAGATGGATACCTGTCCCTTATGGGGGTGTGACCCACCCAGAGGTCAGACCATAATCGAATTCTATCGCCTCCCCTAGGGTGGAACCGAATGTTATTCCGAAAGAAGGAAAGAGAATGCAGGAAAGACTTACAAGCCCCTGAAGCCCTGCTCGGTGTTCCCCCTTCTAGTAGCCAGGTGCTAAAAGGGATTTTGTATCTGTAGTGAATGACTTGGGACCAGAGCAAGTTGTTCTGAGTTGAGAGTCACCACCACCATTTTCCAAGTAGCGTTGTTCTGTTGCCTCAGGATCCAAATCCCAAGCCCAACGAGGTGCTTCGGTTGGCAGACTTTTTCCCAAGAGATGAGATGGAATTTTTTTGATTCAGCGTCCCTGACCAAAAACGTTTTACATCAGTTGTTCTAGACAACTGGCGACTGCCGCGAGCATGTGGAATAGGGACATAAGATATACCGAGGTGTTGGCCAAGGTGGCCTTGATTAGCGTGGTCCTTCCTACGAAGGACAGGTATCTGCCTTTCCACCTTGCTAGGCGTTGGTCAACTTTATCTATGATGTGGAACCACTACCTCTTTTTAGGTTTCCCTAGACCCAAAGGCATACCGAGGTCGCTTGTGGGGAGATCATCCACTCTGCACTACCAGGCAGGGATGAGGGCTCTAGTTTTTGTAGTGTGGATTTCTCCATATTTACTTTAAAGCCTTTAATCAAAGCATCTGAGAAAGAGACGGAGGATCTCAATTTCCTCAGGCACAACGTCGATAAATACAAGCGTATCATCGGTGTACTCTAGGTGAGAGACAATAGGACGTCTAGTACTACTGTTGAAACCAGATAGAAGACCTGCCTAGTACATCCAAGAGATCGATTGGCTAAAGACCTCGACGGATATGGCGAAGAGGAAGGAAGAAAGGGGATCCCCATGCCGGAGGCACCTGAATGAAGGGAAGAAGCCCTTGGGAGCTCCATTAATGAGGATAGGGAAGAAGGGTTGGGAGTAACAGCCCCTCATCCACTTCCTCCAGCGCTCCCCAAACCCCATCCTGGCCAGAGCGACAAATCAACGTGGTCATACACCTTTTCCCACTCAATCTTAAAAAATCAAGCCAGGTTTATTTGCAAGGTGCCTAGAATTCAGGCGTATGAATGCCACCAGGACCCCATCTAGGATTTGTATATCTTTAATGAAGGCACATTGAGAGAGAGAGAGATCACGAAGGGGAGGACCTCTTTAAGCCTTGAGGCCAGGACTTTGGACAGGATCTTGTATGTTGAATTGATCGAGCTAATCGGTCAAAAGTCCTTCAGTTCTTCTGGCCCTTCGATTTTGGGCAAAAGGGCAATGAAGGTCGCATTCATTGCTTTGTGAAGAATACCCTGATGGAAGAATTCATCGAAGAAATTCAGGAAGTCAGGCCGAAAGGTTACCCAAAAAACCTTGAAGGGGGCGACTGGGAAACCGTCTGGGCCTGGTGCTTTGTCTTTACACAAGTCCGCTACTGCTGGCAAAATCTCTGATTCAAAGAAAGGTCGTTCCAACCACTAGACCCCATGGGCAGGTGCAGTGAGGAATTGGATATCACCCATCTTGGGTCTAGGGCAAGAGGGAGCAGTGTAGAGGTTTTGGAAGAAGGAAAGGATAGCCACTTCGATTTCAGGAGTTTGGTCCAAAATCTTGTTACCATCCTTTATAGTGGAGATGGAGTTGTCCCTTCTCCAGCAGTTTGCAATTATGTGGAATACCTGGAGTTATGGTCCCCAGAGTGAAGCCCTTGACGTGGACCTTTGGAACCAATAGATTTCTTCCTTTTTAAGGGTAGAGAAGTACGCAATTTTTTTAAGACGGAAAAGTGGAAAAACAAGGTTGCAAATATCTTTTCCCTTAAAAAAAAGGGGATCTATGCTGTTATAATGGCTTCCATCAGAATGGGCACATCGGCCATATTTTATAACCAGTCAGAGAGTAAAATTCAAATACAATGTTATAATAGGCGGTTACCACTACAGTGTAAGAACATGAGTCTGAACCTTGACTTAGAACAAACAAAGAAGATCAATTGTGGTCTTACGAAGCACAGGGGCAGCACCAAAAGCCAGAACACTTCAAAGTCAGTTTGAGCTTAGGCAATAGCCATATCCACGCATCATAATAAAAAAGGTCTTGTATCCATGCTCCAGCTTTGCCAACTCTGTCTCAAGCCTGACTCAGGGAGCCATGTGACTAGTCAACTTGAGACTCAAGAATGACATGTATAGAAAATTTTAAAATTTATTAAATACTAGTATTGTTATTAGAAAAAAGAAACAAATATGGAGCATTATAACATAGAAAGTACTGGAAAAATTAAAATTAATACAGAGAGAAGCAAAGAATGCACAGTAGAGAACTGAAAATTGGTAAGAAGAGAGCCATACATACAGAGAATTGTGAGACAAAGAAAGAACTAGCTACAAAGAGAGGGGAAATGTGTGAGTGCATCTGTGTGCGTGCATGCGGGTATGCGCACGCGTGTGTGTATGTGTGTGTGTGTGTGTGTGTGTACGAGAGAGAGAGGCTGTTAGAGAAGGAGATAATAGTCTCACACAGTGTTTAAAAAAACGCCGAGTCAAACCGGACTCGCCCGGTTCGACTCGGGAATCGCCATAGACGGATCGAATCGGCGAAAAAAATGGAAATCGTCCGGTTCTAGAGAGAACCGGACAATTCTGCACAGTGACTCGCTGATTCACTGTACGGAATCGGCGAGTCCCGTACAGTGAATCGACAAGTCCCGTACGGAATTTTTATTTTTTTTTTCGGTAATCCATGATAGATTTTTTTGTAATACTTGATCGATTTTTTTGTAATCCATGATCGAATTTTTTTTTTTTTTTTTTTTTTTTTTGAATCCATGATCGAATTTTAT